CTAAGTAGAGGCCATCTTCTATCTTGTCCACATCAACATCTGGCAGGAAATCATCTTCACAGTCAATCATCTTGAAATAAAGTCGGTAAAACAGTGATGAATGATTCTGGAAAAAAATATAAATTTAAAACTTCTTGATACTCAAAAGATAAGGAAAGTAAGAAAACTTAAAAGAATGTGCATTAATTTATTATTTGTTGTACAGTGGAACCCTGGATTTTGCACTTAATCCGTTCCAGAAGGTTGGTCTAAATCCGAAATGTACGAAAACCGAAGTAACATTTCCCATGATGTAAATACAATTAATCCGTTCCAGACACCCAAAAATATTAACAAAAAATAAATTTTTTAAAGAATAACTATAGTTTTACATACAGAAAACAATGAAAAATAAATATAAATGACTAATTTTAATGATAAATGAACATTACATACCTTTATTGAAGACTGTTGGCATATTGACTGTTGGCATATTGAAGAAGGCGAGGAGGGCAGAGGTAGTTGAGGTTATTGTTTGGAAAGGGAATCCCCCTCCATAAGGACTTCAGGTATTAAAGCCCTCTCTGGGGTTACTTCCCTTCCTTGTCTTTTACTGGCTCTGGACCCCTGTCACACTAAAAATCTGTCCAGAGAGCTCTGTTTTTGGCGTCTCTTTAAGATTTGCCTAAAACGGGACAAGGTATTGTCACTGAACATGTTGCAGATACGGCTTGTATCAGCTTGGTCAAGGTAATATTTTTCAACAAAAGTTTGTAACTCATTCCACTTTGCACACACATCCTTAATCACTGAAGAAGGTACCTTCTTCCCTCTCTCTTCCTCCTACTCTGAAGCAATTTCCTCTGCCGTGGTCTGCTGCTGCTCCAGATGAAGGTCTTGCAGCTCTTCAGTGGTCAGCTCTTCCCTGTGGCCCTCCACCAACTCTTCCACATCTTGGCCACTCACATCCAACCCTATGGACTCCCCCAAAGACACAATAGATTCCACAACATGTGTAGAGTTGACAGGGTCAGCCTGAAACCCTTCAAAATCCTTCTCTTGGACACATTCTGGCCACAATTTTCTCCAGAGTTCAAAGTCCTGGAAGTCACTTCCTGCCAAGCCTTACCTATAAGGCTTATGCAATGGAGGATATTGAAGTGATCCCTCCAGAACTCTCTTAGGCTCAATTTAGTGTCTGAGGTCACTTCAAAGCACCTTTGAAACATTGTTTTCATGTAGAGTTTTTTGAAGTTAGAAATGATGATGGGCTGGATGAGAGGAGTGGTGTTAGGAGGCAAGAACTTCACTGTTATAAAACTGAAGACCCTAAACAACTGGTCTTCCAAGTCTGGAGGATGAATAGGAGCATTGTCCAGTACCAGAAGGCACTTGAGTGGCAATTTATTTTCCAGGAGGTATTTTTTCACACTCTGGCCAAACATTTCATGGACCCAGTCAATGAAAATTTGCCTCATGACCCATGCCGTATTATTAGGTTTCCTCATCACACACAATTTACTCTTGACGACATTGTTTTTCTTGGACACTCTGGGATTGTCAGAGTGATATACCAGTAAAGGCTTCAATTTGAAATCCCCACTACTGTTACCACAGAACAAAAGAGTTAGCCTATCGTTCATAGGCTTGTGTTCTGGCAGTGCCTTTTCCTCCTGAGTGATGTAGGTCCTCTTTGGCATTTTCTTCCAAAAGAGGACTGTTTCTTCACAAATGAACACTTGTTGGGGAATAAATCCTTCAGCCTCTATGTACTCCTTGAATTCATCAATGAATTCTTCGGCCGCACGCTCGTCTGAACTTCTGAACTTACAGCCTCACCAGGCCTTACAACATTGTGTAGACCACTATGCTTCTTCAATCTGTTGAACCAGCCTTTGCTGGCCTTAAATTTACTACTAGCAGCACTCGTTTCAGGCATTTTCTTTATGAGGTCTGCATGCAATTGCCTTGCCTTTTCGCAAATGATCGACTCCGCAACATTATCTTCCGCTAACTGTTTTTCATTGATCCACACCAACAACAACTTCTCCACATCTTCGATTGTTTGTGATCTCTGTTTTGTTAGCAGATTTACCCCTTTGGCAAATTTAGCTTCCTTGATTTCTTTGCCAGGATGGAACAGATTGTTGATTTCAACTTCCCATACATCCTGGCAAGCTCAGCTAAACATACGTCACTTTAGTATTTTTCAACAATCTCTTTCTTGAATTCTATCGTGTTTCTCACCTTCTTTACCAAAGGGCTGGCACTATGAACTTTCTTTGGGCCCATGGTGGCTTATTTCATGGTCGAAGTCAATAAACAAGCACAAAAATTGTGAAATGTTTTGGATGAATGCTCACTCAACCAGTGACAGAGCCAGACTGAGACACGTACGCATGAGTGCGGCAGCATCCTAGGTGGGCAGACGCAACTGATATGTGATTTCCGGACGGAGGCACAAAATTCGAATCAAATTTTTGCCCCAAAAATTGTTCTAAATCCGAATTGTACGATATTTGAACCATATGAAAACCGGAGTTCCACTGTATGTTTAAAGGTACAGTGGAACCTCAAATTTCGAACTTAATCTGTTCCAGGAGCTAGTTCTAAATTTGAAAAGTTTGAAAAGCGAAGCAATATTTCCCATAAGAAATAATGGAAATACAATTAATCTGTTCAAGAAACCCAAAAATATTCACAAAAAAAAAAAAAAAAAATTATATAGAGATTAATTATAGTTTTACAAACACACAACAACTATAGTGTACAATTATGTATTAATAAATTTAAATAAACATATAGAATAACATTTTTACTTACCTTTATTGAAGATTGGTGACGGTATCTGGAAGATAGGGAGGAAGAGAGAGGGAGATGGGGTTAGTGTTTGGAAGGGGAATCCCCCTCCATAAGGACTTTAGGTATCAAAGCCCTCTCTGGGGTTACTTCCCTTCTCTGTCTTTTAATGCCACTAGGACCAGCTTGAGAGTCCCTGGACCCATCTCACAAAATAACTGTCCACAGTCCTCTGTTTCTGGCGCCTCTTTAAGATTTCCCTAAAATGGGACATGGTTTTGTCATTGAACTTGTTGAAAAGATGGCTTGTTTCAGCTTGCTCAGGGTGGTGCTTCACAAACATTTGGACATCATTCCACCTGGCACAAATCTCCTTAATCTTTGAAGGCACCTCATCCACTCCCTCTTCCTCCTCCTCTGAAGCAAGTTCCTCAGCTTTGGTCTGATACTGTTCCAGATGAAGCTCTTGCAGCTCTTCAGTGGTTAGCTCTTCCCTGTGGTCCTCCACCAACTCTTCCACATCCTCACCACTCACCTCCAGCCCCAGGGTGTTCCCCAATGCCACAATTGAGTCCACAACAGGCAGAGGGTCAGCTGGGTCAGGGTCAGCCTCAAACCCTTCAAAATCCTTCTTTTGGACACAATCTGGCCACAATTGTCTCCAAGCAGAGTTCAAAGTCCTGGAAGTCACTCCCTCCCAAGCCTTACCTATAAGGTTTATGGAGTTGTAGATGCTGAAGTGATTCCTCCAGAACTTTCTTAGGGTCAACTTAGTGTCTGTGGTCACTTCAAAGCACTTTTCAAACACTGCTTTTGTGTAGAGTTTTTTGAAGTTAGAAATGACCTGCTGGTCCATGGGCTGGAGGAGAGTAGTGGTGTTAGGAGGCAAGAACTTCATTGTTATAAAACTGAAGTCCCTAGACAAGAGGTCTAATAAGTTTGGAGGATGAGCAGGAGCATTGTCCATTAAAAGGAGGCACTTAAGTGGCAAATTGTCTAGGAGGTATTTTCTAACACTGGGGCCAAACACTTCACGGACCCACTCTTTGAAAATTTGCCTTGTGACCCATGCCTTATTATTTGCTTTCCACAAGACACATAACCTGTTCTTTATGACATTGTTTTTCTTAAACACACTGGGATTTTCTGAATGATACACAAGTAAAGGCTTCATTTTAAAATCACCACTAGCATTAGCACAGAACAAAAGAGTTAGCCTGTCTTTCATAGGCTTGTGTCCTGGCAGTGCCTTTTCCTCCTGAGTAATGTAGGTCCTCTTTGGCATTTTCTTCCAAAACAAGCCTGTTTCGTCACAACTGAACACTTGTTGGGGGTTTGAATTTTTCAGTGTCTACGTAAACTTTAAACTTCTGTATAAACTTCTCAGCTGCTTGTTTGTCTGAACTGGCTGCCTCACCATGCCTTACAACATTGTGTATGCCACTATGCTTCTTAAATCTGTCAAACCAGCCTCTGCTGGCCTTACATTCACTATCAGCACTGATTCCAAGAGCTTTCTGTACCAGATCGGCATGCAACTTCCTTGCCTCTTCACAAATAATCGTCTCTGAAACACTATTACCTGCCATCTCTTTATCCTTGACCCACACCAGCAACAACTTCTCAACCTGATCGATTGTCTGTGGTCCTTTTTTGGTTAGCATATTAACACCTTTTGCAACATCAGCTTCCTTGATTTGTTCTTTCTTTGCCAGGATAGAAGCGATGGTCGACTTGTTTTTCCCATACATCCTGGCAAGCTCAACAAGTTTCACAACAAGTTTCACACATGTTGCACATGTGTCTCAATTTCATCTTGTCGGTATTGTATACCATTCTTGCACAAGTTTCACACATACTTCTGTATTATTTCCTTCTTCACATCTATGGTGTTTCTCACTTTCTTTACCACAGGGGTACCACTAACAAGTTTCTTTGGGCCCATGGTAGCTTATTTTACAGTCCCACAAGCACTAAACACAATGAATTATTCATAAAATGTTTGAATGAGAGTGCAGGTTAGTGTTCACTCAAGCATCAACAAAGCCAGATTGGCTCATGGGGCCTGCATGGGGATGCAGACAGAGCAAAATGGTGGACAGGTCCAGTACCCGGTGGTTCGAAAATAGGGGTGAATTCGATAACAGGGACAAAGTTGGTTCAAAAAAGCGGTTGATTTTCGAAGAGTTTGATAAGCAATACATTCAAAATTTGAGGCTCCACTGTAATCATATGTAAAAAACAAATGCTACAAAGGCTCACAATTTATTTGAACGAAATACATGAATCTCCAGTTATTATAATTTAACTGCACAAAATACATGAACTGCCAGTTATTATAATTTAACTGTATAAATTACATGAACTTCCAGTTACAGTACATGTATTATACCTTAACTGTACAAAACACACAAATTTCTAATTATCAAGTCATAGAGAAGTGTTCAGAGACACAGCACCTGGAAAACAAGATGGGTAAGATGTAATCAAGTTTAAGAAATTGAGGGCACCTTTGATGAATCAAAAGTCTCACCAGCAGCAAGGCACCTTGTATCAAGAACCCTTCACCAGCATTAAGGTGCCTTGAGTTAAGAACCCTTTACCAGCATCAAGGTCCTTCCTTACTTTCAAAGATGATAAACCTACAACAATATTTAACTCTCATAAGACACGCTAGTGTTGGTATGCTGGAGTGAACACTGACAATGTTTATATAAGCTTTCTGAGATCAATATTATTCTTGCATAAATGTACAAATGATGCCAAATGCTAGCCACCTAGTAGACTAATGCTAGTAGTCTAGCATACTGTTGTTAGATGGTTACAAAATTAATGTTAGAACATCAATGCTAGATAAATGATAAACTATTTCTACAAATTATGGTTAATGATTGATTTAGAAAAGATGCCATTAGTGACATACTTTCTAGAAAGGCACTGATAATGCAGACCATTTCAGTCTTAAAATAAGCTTATAGATACTACTGGAATTTTCAGGCAAGAAAAATTTGTTGGAAGTTTTAGTATGACAATGTGTAGATTAGTACAAATGTTGGTCAAGTATAAATGCAGACATTAATGTAAATTTCAATATTTCTTCACAAGACATATAATAAACTAGAGGCCCATAGAATGCATAGCATCTTGGGCCTATACAGTGGACCCTTGGTTTTCACTGATCTTAGATATCGCCGATTTTGGTTTTGGTCGACTTTTTTTTGTCGTGGCTTTAGTTTTCATCAATTACCTTAGTTTTCATCGATCGTAAGGAACCTGTCCAGTCCCCAGCATGCAGACAAAGCAGGAGATAGTGTTGTGCAGTCCATTGTTTGTGAAAAGGCAAGGCAGTTGCATGAGTATCTCAGAGAAACTGCCTGAAACAAGTGGTGATGAAAGTGAAGACCAGCAAAGGCTGGCTTGAAAATTTCAAGAAGTGGCATACACAGCATTGTAAGGCACGGTGAGGGTACCAGTTCAGACAAACAAGCGGCTGAAAAGTTCGTTGGGGAATTCAAATGTTATGTAGAGTCTGAAAAATTCCAACCCCAACAAGTGTTCAAGTGTGACAAAACAGGCCTCTTTTGGAAGAAAATGCCAGAGGACCTACATCACGCAGGAGGAAAAGGCATTCCCAGGACACAAGCCTATGATAGACAGGCTAACTCTCTTGTTGTGTGGTAATGCTAGTGTATCACTCTGAAAAATCCCAGTGTTCGTGAAAAACAGTGTTGTTAAGAGTAAATTGTGTGTGATGTGGAAGGCAAACAGTAGGGCATGGGTCACAAGGGAAATTTTCCTGGAATGGTTTAATGAAGTGTTTGGCCCCTGTATGAAAAAGTACCTCCTGGATAAGAAATTGCCACTCCAGTGCCTTCTGTTAATGGACAATGCTCCTACTCATCCTCCAGACTTGGAAGACCAATTGTCTAAGGAATTCAGTTTTGTAACAGTGAAGTTTTTGCCTCCTAACACCACTCCTCTCCTCCAGCCCATGGACCAGCAAATCACTGCAAACTTGAAAAAAACTGTACACCTAAGCAATGTTTCAAAGGTGCTTTGACATAACCTCAGACTCTGAATTGACCCTAAGAGAATTCTGGAAGAATCACTTCAATATCTTCCACTGCATAGGCCTTATAGATAAGGCTTGGCAGGGAGTGACTCCCAGGATGATGAACTCTGCTTGGAGAAAACTGTGGCCAGATTGTTTCCAAAAGAAAGATATTGAAAGGTTTGAGGCTGACCCTGTCGACCCTACACCTGTTGTGCAATCAATTGTGGCATTGGGGAATTCCATGGGGTTGGATGTGAGTTTGGAGGATGTAAAAGAGTTGGTGGAGGACCACAATGAAGAGCTAACCACTGATGAACTGCAAGCACTTCATCTGCAACAACAAGAGACATCAGCTCAGGAAATTGCTTCAGAGGAGGAGGAATAGAGATGGAAGAAGGTGCCTTCTTCAAATATTAAGAAGATTTATGTGCATTCATTTGTGGAGCAACATCACCCTGAGAAAGCTGTTGCAATCAGTGCTGGTGACTTTTACAATGACAATGCCACATCCCAGTGACTCTCAAGCTGGTCCTAGTGACAGTAAAAAACAAAGGAGGGAAGTGGCCCCAGATAAGGACTTGGTACCTAGAGGCCTTATGGAGGGGGGATTACCCTCCCAAACAATAACCTATCTTCCCTCTCCCCTCCTCCCTGCTTTCCTTCCAGCAACAACAGCCTTCAAAAAAGGTAAGTGTCATGTTTAATGTTCATTCTTTTGTGCATGTAAATGTATATTAATGGTAAAAAAAAATTGTTTGTTGATACTTCTGGGTGTCTGGAACAGATTAATTCCATTTACATTATTTCTTATGGGGAAAATGGTTTTGGTTTTGGCCGATGGCTCTGGAACGGATTAAACACGAAAACTAAGGGTCCACTGTACTACACTTGAGGTTTTCTCAGTTAATTCATAGTAACAATCATAGTAAGAGGACATAATTGTCACATTTAACAGAGTGGGACTAGTTACTTAAATTACAATACAAAATAGTATGAGATAGGATGTGCATATAATAATATATGGGAGTTAAAGGAAAGCTGGAAGAAGAATGGGTAGAAGAACTGGATGAAAACAGTAGGTTTCTGGATTTGTTTGACATCTGTCCAGCGGCTGGTGCATGACTCAACTTGTTCATAAACTCTATGCAGATAAAAGGTACAAAACTTTGCAACTCTCTGCATGAAAATATCAAAAGTTTCCCACCTGTCAAAATCTTTACTAATACAGTGAAACCTTGGTTGTTGAATGGACTAGTTGTCGAGCAAATTGATTTTCCTACAAGGAATTTGGTCCTGGTTATCGTATGTGGTCTTGGTTGTTGACCACCAATGCCTGCATCACATGCCCACCAGACAGAGTCTGCAGTGTGGGCCTCAGTCAGTATGGTGACTAATGTGCATGCTGTAAATGTCTCTTGAGCTCTTGCTGTGCATCTTGTGAGGTAATGTAACTTTGCTATTGCAAAGTTAGTGGTCTCAGCGATATTTACGCACTGGTGATTTTGCCTACATTGAAAATACACTGCAAAGTTGCTGTTTTAAACCAAAAACACTGTCGCATTTATTTTTCTCATTATGCACTTCATGCTGCAGAACTTTTTTTATACTACGCACACTGACCATGCAGACCCAGTCTCTCGCATGTAGGCCTACCAGCTTTCTCCTGCAAGATTTGAAGCCATTAGAATTTTGCCATTAGCTCTCCTCTGACAGGTAAGAGGCAGTTATATTTTCATTTAATGTACAGTAGTATTTCGGTTAAATTTTAAGTATTTATTTTTACAGTTTCCGTGTGTTGTATAATTTTATACATTGTTTTATGTAGTAGTTAGTACATTATTATTAATAAAATTTATATTGTCATTTTTGGTCTGGAAGGATTAATTCTATTTACATTACTTTTTATGGGAAAAATTGGTTTGGTTGTCAACCATTTTGATTGTCAAATTGACATCTGGAATGTATTAAGCTCAACAACCGAGGTTCCATTGTATTGTTAAAAAACACCTATTAAATCTCACATAAATGTTATATCAGTAAACTACCAATAGATTCTAATGCTTTGATTTTATCACCATGATACAACCCCTCCATAAAATGCAGTCACTAAACTGATGTAATTTATGTGCTTTGACCAATTCTTTATTTACAACTTGTCTAATTGTACAGTTAACCATTTGAGGGTCGAGAGGCTCTCTCCCAAATTCGTTCTCAGGGTCGAAAATTTTTCGAAAAAAAAAAAAAAAAATTATTTTTTATGAAATGACAGAGAATCTTTTTCCAATCATAATGACACCAAAAGTATGAAATTTGATGGAAAACTTACAGAATTATGCTCTTGCAAAGTTAGTGGTCTTGAAGTAGGCAATTTCTCCCACTTTGAGCCCTATTTTTGGCCAATTCCAATGTTGCAGTTGACTAAATTCATAGCTATTTCCCTAGAACTCCATTTGTTCTATCGATTGAGTACAAGAATCCACCCATTTACTGATTTCAAGTACCCAATAAAGTGGTCACAAATTGGCAATTTGGGCAATTTCACACAAATTTCAAAAGATGCCAATTTTGAAACAGGGTCCAGAATAAACAAGACAGACATTCATGGCACTAAAATAACATTTTATCTGTTCATTAGTCATGTCTCTAGGCCCCTCTTACATTACTTTTGCTTTCCATTTTGAATTTTTATTCTCAAAGAAAATACACCTACCATCCGACTTACGACCTGCTCGACATACGACCATTCGACTTGCGACCGTGTTTTGTATGCCAAATTTTTGGGAAATAAACAACTATTTGTGATGTACACAGTGTTTATCCTAAACCTTACAGTATAAAACACAGTACTAACAGCATAAAAAGCAATGTAAAAAATGAAATACCAGAATAAAACAATTAAATAAAGTCATTACAAAAATGTGATGTTGATATTCAGTAGTAAGGTTCGACTTATGTCCATTTTGACTTACCACCAGTTGGCCAGAACCAAGCTCGGTCATAAATCGGATGGTAGGTGTAAAGTGGACCTCCGACTTACGATATTAATCCGTTCCAGAGAGCCCATCGTAAGACGAAATTATCGTAAGTCGAATGAATTTTCTCCATGAGAAATAATGGAAATCAAATTAATCCGCTCAAGACACCCAAAAGTATGAAATTTTTTTTTTTTACCACATGAAATTTACATTTTCCTACACACAAAAAGGATACATGTACAATATATATTGTGCATGTACTAGTGTACTAAATGAAGAATAAATGACACTTACCTTTATTGAAGATGTGGTGATGAGTGATGAGACACTGTTTGTGTTCTGGGAGTGCCTTTTCCTCCTGAGTAATGTAGGTCCTGTTAGGCATTTTCTTCCAGAACAGGCCTTATCACACTGTCTATGCCACTATGATTCTTAAATCTCTCAAACCAACCTTCGCTGGCCTTAAATTCACCAATATGAGCACTATTTCCAGGCATTTTATCTTGTTCACCTGGATGTTAGTCGACTGGTGTGGGTCACATTCTGGGGGACAAGATTAAGGACCCCAATGAAAATAAGTTAGACAGTCCTCGATGACACACTGACTTGAGTTATCCCGGGTGGCTAACCCTCTGGGATTAATTGTTTCTCGGTATTCTCGATAAGCCACACCAACAACAGTCTCTCCATATCTTCAAGTAGTACAGCTGACCGTGGTACGATAGTATTTCTCACCCTTTTTACCACAGGGTTGGCACTAGAAGCTTTCTTTGGGCCCATGGTGGCTTATTTAGCAGCTACAAGCACTAAAAACACTGGAATACAAAATTTATCGAATGTATGTGTGCAACCGTCAACAATGTCACACTAGCTCAGCTGAGGCGCTCAGGCCAGATGGACCAGACGGCCGCATTCGGGATGAATGATGTAAGTCAAGTTTTTCAACATAGGTTGGGGTCAAATTTTTACACTGACAAGCATCGTAAGTTGGTTTTATCATAGGTTGAGGCCATCGTAAGTCGGGGGTCCACTGTAGAAGGTTTTCTGTTATGTATACTACTGCATCATTATAAAAATGGTATAAATGATATCAACGCACTTGTGAAAGAATATTAGGCTCACCAGTTGACGTGTATTGGGCGTGTGGCTTGATTTGTTTACTCTTGAACATTGGCAAAAATCAATCATTTTTGCTACTTTGAGCTCAATTTCAAGGTACTTGTCATCTTTAAACCAATCAAAATCATCTCTATTCCTGTAATATATCTTCCATTCTATCAACTGAGACCAAGGAAACGAGAATACAACCATAAATACCATACAAAAATACACTAGAAATTCGCTGTTTTAAACCAAAAACACAGTCAGATTTTTTTCTCATTATGCACAGCGTGCTTCAGGATTTTTTTTTATACTGCACACACTGACCACACAGACCCATAATTTCATGTGTAGGCCTGCCAGCTTTCTTCCACCAGATTTGAAGGTGCTAGAATTTAGGCGTACAAGTACGTGACAGACCATGGCTACAATGACGTACTTGTACGTGACCGACCCTCAAAGGGTTAAACTTCTCATTAATGGACTAATAGGAGGGAGGGGTGCATTATAATGCTGACTGTCTGCGACTTCTGAATTACGACATTAAGAATTCATGATCATCCGGTTGTCTTCTGAAGTAGTGGACTTGGTCCGCTGATGCAGAAGACAACTGGAAGCTAATAATATGGGTATTGTAACCTGTAGTACTGCAGTACAGTACACCCTCTTCTCACTTAACAATAGAGTTCCATTCCTAAGACCATGTCAGTAAACAAATTCATCGCTAAGTGAAGAGCATACCATAATGGTAGTGGGTTTGTGTCAACCATCTTTGATATTGTTTTAATGTCATCTTTGCATCATTTACAGCATTACTGGTATATTTTTCAAGGTTTATACAGTAGTCTACTGTACATTGCAATAAACAGAATAGAGGAAATCAGCTCTAATATACATTACAGCCTCTCCTCACTTACTGATGGAGTTCCATTCCAGACCACGTCAGGAAATGAATTCGTCGCTAATCGAGGAATCACCCCTTACTGACACTTCAAAAGTGTCACCACCCAAAATTAAAACATTCAGTTTTATTTTTGCTGGGAAATTCCTTTCAGTCTGTTTATTATTAATGGTAATACAACATGAAATAGGTCAATGACTTACTTCAGGGATATTTCAGGAAACGTGTGCATAGCTGACTACTTGGGAAATTTTTTTTCAAGAAAATTGCACTTTTTCAGTACAGTGGAACCTCTACTTACGAGTTTAATCCGTTCCATGACCTTGCTCGCAACTAGATTTGCTCGTTTGCAGAGTCAATTTTCCTCATTTAAATTAACTGAAATGGAATTAATTCGTTCCAGTGGAATTCCTGGCACGAGAAAATACTTCAATAATTTCCCTAATATCAACTCTACAGCTTATTTATCTATCATAATTCATGTAATATGACATAATAAACAATATCAATAACATAGAAACATGATATATACATTAGAATGAATAAAATACATGTCATTAGGTATGTGGCTAGTGGTGTTGACAGCAGCCATTGTCGTTGGGGTTTATAGGGCCACCACAGCGGCCATTCCTGCTCCTGATTACATGTGTAGAGAACCTAGGACAACCCAAAAAAGTCAGACACAGTGACTTATAAGTGCTACACTCTTAATGCTTCACTTAATTGCTACACTCTTAATGCTACACTTAACTGCTACACTCTTAATACTACACTTAATTGCTACACTCTTAATGGTACACTTTGCCACTGCTGCTTCATGTTGTCTGCCACTGCTACCTCATGATGTCTGCCACTGCTGCTTCATGCTGTCTGCCACTGCTACCTCATGATGTCTGCCACTGCTGTTTCATGTTGTCTGTCATTGCTGCTTCATGTTGTCTGTCACTGCTGCTTCATGTTGTCTGCCACTGTTACCTCATGATGTCTGTCACTGCTGCTTCATGTTGTCTGCCACTGCTGCTTCATGTTGTCTGCCACTGCTACCTCATGATGCATGCCACTGCTGCTTCATGTTGTCTGCCACTGTTACCTCATGATGTCTGCCACTGCTGCTTCATGTTGTCTGCCACTGATACCTCATGATGTCTGCCACTGCTGCTTCATGTTGTCTGCCACTGCTACCTCATGATGTCTGCCACTGATACCTCATGATGTCTGCCACTGCTGCTTCATGTTGTCTGCCACTGCTACCTCATGATGTCTGCCACTGTTGCTTCATGTTGTCTGCCACTGCTGCTTCATGTTGTCTGCCACTGCTACCTCATGATGTCTACCACTGATGTCGCCAAAGAATTGAACATTTCTGCTATTTTGAGCTCAATTTCAAGGTACTTTTCATCATGAAACCAATTAAAATCCTATTTATTTTTGTAGTATATCTTCCATTCTATCACAAGAGACCAAATAAAACGAGAATACAACCATAAAACCATACAAAAATATACAACTAAGGGGACGCTAATGGCTGAGAAGTGTGCTCCGTTATTTACGGTCCGATTTCTTTCATTTTTGGTGTACGTTAAGAAGCATGTTTTCATCATATATTGCCCAAGTTTCAATAAGATAGTCCACAAAAC